GACTCTCCCATAGACAGCAAGGTAACTACCACGTTCAAGACCCTCCCATAGACAGCCAGGTAACTACCACGTTCAAGACCCTCCCATAGACAGCAAGGTAACTACCACGTTCAAGGTCCAGAAAAGTACCAAGATGATCGACAAAGTAGTCCGTGTGACATCAGTAGTTCAACTGTAAAGTTACAAAGCTACGAAGAATACTTTTTTGCGCAAAGAAAACAAAAATAACGACTTTATTCTACAATTTCGTTTCTACTGCGTCACTTGTGGACGCGCGTTCACGACAGTACCATGACGCGAGCGTGTGGGTCAGCGCTGCCACTGGAACTTGAATGTGGTAGTTACCTTGCTGTCTATGGGAGGGTCAGAGACCCCTCAGATTTCATCAAAAATATCTTAAATTGTGTTCCGAAGATGAACGAAAGTCTTACGGGTTTGGAACAACACGAGGGTGAGTAATTAATGACAGAATTTTAATTTTTGGGTGAACTAACCCTTTAATAACAGATCATACACACACTAAAGATGAGTAGTGTTTGCTCGTGCAAAACCTGCCTAGCGTGGGTTATTATAAAACTAGAACCATAAAAACATTTTGATTGATTGAAATAAAATGTGATGTGATGTGTGACGTCATGAGAAAACTATGAATAGCGCAGGCAATGTTTATATGGTTGCCAACTAATGGGATGCTGCATTTTATTCAAAACCCTTTTAACAAGGTACACATTGTACTAAGTTTAATACTTAGGGTTGGGGATAAATAATAGTAAAAGACAGAATTGCCTTAGTAAACAACACTAAACAGATTGTATCTCATGTTCATGTGTGTGTGTCTCACCCCAAGGATTTCACTGAATAAAAGAGCATAGATGGGGTTGACAGATCCATTAATAGCAGCACCTAAAGAGCCCAGCAGCATATACGGCCACTCAGGACGGTTATACTTCAGGATTCGTGCCACAGGAGCCGCTTCAATGACCTCTTTATCTTCACCCTTGCTTTTCTGCAAGACAAGATAGGGAACTTTAGATAAATATAGAAAGCCGAAATACTGTATTCACCTGTATTCAGTTCCAGACCTTGTTGTTTGCTTCAACTTCCTCCATTTCAAATTGGTCTGCGTGGATTTCGAATTTTCCAGATATGGCATCCGGAATGTTGTTTGACATCTGAGAATGCGATCGCTGTCTCAAAGAACGCCTATAGGAAAGGCATTTTAATTTAAAAAGAGAACATTTCGACACTCCTCTCAAGATAATATTAAATGTCATAATGCTTATGTACCTTAAGGAGCTCTCATAACTTCCTCTGCTGAAGCTCCTTACTTTCTCAAATCCATCCTCCTCTGTAAAGTTTGTCTCAGCAGCTGTGTGATTCAGTATCATGTTAGTGTTTAAAGAAACTGTTCACCCAAAAATGTACACAATGTCATTCACCCTCATGTCGTTCAAAACTATCTCCATGCACTTTCATTTTATTGCATCGCTTCAGAAGAACATAGTGCAACATACAAGTAATGCGGACTGTTTTTATGTTGTTGTGTTATTGTCCTTGACGGATGTAGTAACTACTGCTAAGCTTCCATCCAAAGTTGCAAAATTAAATTAGAGTACTGCATAAAACATTTGCAAATAAAGCATTTCCATCCTTTGTTTTCAATTGCGTGATATATAATCGCAATTCTGACTTTTTTCCCTCACAATTGCAAGTTCATATCTTGCAATTCAGACTTTTTAATTTGCAACTGCAAGTTTATATCTCGTAATTCTGACTTCTTTCTCAGAATTATGAGATAAACTCGCAACTGTGAGTTATAAATAAGACTGACTTTTTTCCTCAGAATTGAGAGTTTATATCTCACAATTTTGAGAAAAAACGTCATAATTGTGAGTTTATATCACACAATTCTGAGAAAAAATGTCAAAGATAAAAAAAGATAAAAAGTTACCTTTTTTATTTTTATTTTATTCAGTGGCAGAAATGGGTTTCCATACCATAGTGTTATTTTTAATTTTTTTTAATTCACATAAAAATACATGGATGGACACATGCTTATAATGCATGGAAATTCACTGGTGAAATAATGCAAAATGTCTGCTTTTGTGTTTCACAGAAAATCACCAACATACAGGTTTCCAATGACATGAATGTTAATTTTTGGGTGAAGCAATATGCAAACCTGGACTTGTGGAAATGATTTCCAAAAGTCCCCGTACTCACTCTTCTCTGGTTTATCACTGTCTGTATCCTTTCCTTGAGTCTGGAGTGTGACTAGGGTAAAGTAAACTCCCTTTCTGTCCAGTAACTGGCTGTGTGTGCCTCTCTCTACAGCACGTCCATGCTCAAAGCCCACAATTACATCGGCGTTACGGATGGTGGACAGGCGGTGTGCGATGCTGATAGTCGTTCTTCCCTGTCGAGCCTGAAAAATGTCATTGAATGAGTGTGTGCAACAATAAATATATGGAAATATCTGTTTCTTGAATAAACCTGCATTTGCTGACAAGTTCATAATTCAGTACAACATGCAACATTACATTATAGGATACTAAAATTAATTATAATAACTAGAAAAGGAAAGTCTGTCAAGAAAAAAAGTCTCAATGGTTTATTTACATCTTATGAATACATGGGCAGCTGTGTGGCTGCTATGGTGTTCTGGGTGGTTGCTAAGGTGTTAAATGGCTGCTAGGCAGTTGCTAGGGAGTTCCCAGGGGTGTTGCTGGGTGCTTGTTAAGCTGTTCTAAGTGCTTGTTGGGTGGTTGCTAGGATGTTTCTAGGCACTTAAGGTTTTCTAAGTGGTTGTTGGCCACTTATTAAGGTGTCCTAAGTGGTTGCTAAGGTGTTGCTGGATGCTTAAGGTGTTCTAAGTGGCTGTTAGGACGTTGCTGGGCTCCTAAAGTGTCCTAAGTGGTTGTCGGGTGGTTGCTAGGAAGTTGCTGGGCATTTAAGGTGTTCCAAGTGTTTTGCTGGGTAGTTGCTAGGGTGTTGTTGGGCGCTTACTAAGGAGTTCTAAAAGGTTGCCGGGTGGTCGATAGGGTGTTGCTGGGCGGTTAAGGTATTCTAAGTGGTTGCTAGGAAGCTGCTGGGCACTTAAGGTGTTCCAAGTGGTTGCTAGGGTGTTGCTGGGTGCTTTTTAAGGTCATCTAAATGGTTGCTACGTGGTTTCTAGGCTGTTGCTAGATATATAGAATAGATCCTGTCAGCTATGGGAAAACCATTAATCTGGTCAGTTAGAAAAGGTATACTTTAGAAAGTCAGGACAGGATGAGGGACTGTGCCGAACTGATGGATGTAGCTTGAAAACTCTAGGAGAAGTTACATTTTGATCTTAGTTAATGGATGTTGTAAAACTCACCTTGTCCAAGGCCTCCTGTACTATAGCCTCACTCTCGTTATCCAGCGCTGATGTGGCCATGTCTAACAGGAGGATTCTGGGATTCCTGACCAGCGCTCGAGCAATGGCGATCCTTTGTTTCTGCCCTCCACTCATCTGACCCCCACCTTCACCCACCAATGTGTCAAATTTCTGCATGACATGACATACAGTGTCATAAAATGTATTTAGTTTGATATGTAAACTGAATATATGCAAAATTATAAAAATATATTTTAATTAAGAACATTTTTATTTGAAAAAAAAAATAAAAAATCTCCAAGCACTTCCTTTGTTACTTTATCAATTTATCAGTAAGGTAATGCATGTACTGATCTTATACAGTAACTGGCACCTCAGGAAGATCCATGATGAAGTTGTAAGCATTGGCCTGTTTGGCAGCTTCTATAATCTCCTCCATGGTGACTCCAGGACGGCCGTATCGGATGTTCTCCGCGATCGTGGTGGCGAACAGAACAGGCTCTTGTTCCACTATGCCAATAAGGGAACGCAACCACTGGATATTTAGGCTTCTGATGTCATGACCATCCAGGGTGACCTAAAAATGACAATAATTTTCAACACCAGATCAGACATTTGGTATTAGATTTAACTGTTTTAAGCTAGTGTTTATTCAAGGAAGTATTTTTAATAAATAAGATGAAATAAGACGAATTTCTTTTTCCTTTATTGATTGATTGTTGGAAAAAACTGATGTCCTATGAAATTTTTTAACAAATCTGAACCAGTGTTGTTATTGTTAACTAAAAAATTTAATTATTTAAAAAAAAAAAAACTTTTCTGTAATTCAAATTAAGCTAAAATATTATAAAATATATTTGATGAAAATTTAAAGTTGAAATAATTGAAAGTTCTTATTAAATAAAACTTCATTAAAGTCCCAAAATAATTACTAAAACTAAAAGTTATATAAAAATAAAGCTAAATAGAAATATTGAAAAACAAAAAATGAATACAAATGACAAATGCACATAAAATTAATAAAATAAAAATGACATTAAATTAAATGAAAATAAAATGAAATAAAAAAAATGAAAACTGAAAATGTGAAAACAAAAGCTAATTCAAAATAATAATACACACTTTAACAGTATATAAATAATACTTAAATAATTCTGGTTTGAACTACTGTACCATTCCTTCTTTTGGGTCGTAGAACCTCTGAATGAGTTGGATTGTTGTGCTCTTTCCTGATCCACTGGGTCCAACGAATGCAGTCGTCTCGCCAGCTTTAACCACAACATTCAAATCATCTAATATCTGAATACAAGATATGGTCAGTCAATATTGGATAGAATTTAACTGTTTCAAGCAAACATCAGATTAAATTATGCATGCTAAAAACCATAACCCACTTTCACTTCACGACGGGAGGGATAGTTGAAGTGAACGTTGTGGAATTCGATGTCACCTTTAACTTTGTCTAACGCATGACCTTCTTCTGAGAAGCAATCGATTTCTGGTTCCTGTATGGGAACAGGATGTTACAGTCATTAATCTGTCCCTGAAGCTGAAAGAATGAAATTCATTGATTTTGTGAGAATTGTGTGTGTGTGTTATTCTCACCCTGTCAATAGTGTCAAATATACTCTTGGCTGCGGCCCGACCAGAGGCAAAGGCCTCAAGACAAGGAGAGGCCTGGCCCAGATTCATGGCACCCATAAGAACACCAAAGAACACCTGAAGAGAACAAAAAGTAAAATAAAATAATTAAAAAACTGACAGTCGTCTCGCCAGCTTTAACCACAACATTCAAATCATCTAATATCTGAATACAAGATATGGTCAGTCAATATTGGATAGAATTGAACTGTTTCAAGCAAACATCAGATTAAATTATGCATGCTAAAAACCATAACCCACTTTCACTTCACGACGGGAGGGATAGTTGAAGTGAACGTTGTGGAATTCGATGTCACCTTTAACTTTGTCTAACGCATGACCTTCTTCTGAGAAGCAATCGATTTCTGGTTCCTGTATGGGAACAGGATGTTACAGTCATTAATCTGTCCCTGAAGCTGAAAGAATGAAATTCATTGATTTTGTGAGAATTGTGTGTGTGTGTTATTCTCACCCTGTCAATAGTGTCAAATATACTCTTGGCTGCGGCCCGACCAGAGGCAAAGGCCTCAAGACAAGGAGAGGCCTGGCCCAGATTCATGGCACCCATAAGAACACCAAAGAACACCTGAAGAGAACAAAAAGTAAAATAAAATAATTAAAAAACTGACCGACTGAGCACTGTGTTGCGTCTTACTGACTGGACTGTACAATTTTATTTCTGTATACTTTTCTTACTTCTTTCATTTCCTATACTTTTTATTGCTATTTTTATTTCTATCTTCTATGATTATTTTTAATTGCCTTCATGTATAGCACTTTGAATTCCCATTATGTAAAAAATGTGCTACAGCATATAAATAAACTTGCAACTGGAAACATTATGAAAAAATAATAAAAGTCCAAAAAACTGATGGGTCAAAAAAAAAAAAAAAAAAAAAAAAAAAATAAAAAAAAAAAAAATAAAATAAAATAAAGTCTCCTTTTGTGTCCACACTTGGCTGTTGTACCTGAACGAGGCCGCCGGGTGTGAGCTCCTTGGTTTCAATGACCAGTTTTGAGCCGTACCAGAAAGCCAGAGCGTAACACAGGAATATGATGCACCAAAGGTAACCCTGAAACACACCAATGATCGCTCCCTTCTTAATACCCCACGCCTGGGCCACCACGAGGTTCCTGTCATACCTGTGATAATAATAAATGACATCAACATCCCTCATACTTTTTCAGCTCTTCCACTTTTCACAATCCACATAATTCCAGATGGCTGAAAGTTCAAAGTTTTCTCACTGAATATCCAAAAGTAAACAGGGTTGCACTGACAGATAAAGAGGGCATGCTGTACCTCTCTGCTTCTTTGTGCTCTCCTCCAAAAGCGGCCACCGTTCTGAGAGAGGAAAGGACTTCATCGGCCACTGCTCCTGCTTTAGCATAGGCCTGCAACTCACGACCCGTCAGCCTCGCCACAGCCTTCACATTAATTATGAAAAAAAAAAAAAAGCCCAAAAAACTGATGGGTCAAAAAAAAAAAAAAAAAAGAATAAATTAAGAAAAAATAAAGAATAAAATAAAATAAAGTCTCCTTTTGTGTCCACACTTGGCTGTTGTACCTGAACGAGGCCGCCGGGTGTGAGCTCCTTGGTTTCAATGACCAGTTTTGAGCCGTACCAGAAAGCCAGAGCGTAACACAGGAATATGATGCACCAAAGGTAACCCTGAAACACACCAATGATCGCTCCCTTCTTAATACCCCACGCCTGGGCCACCACGAGGTTCCTGTCATACCTGTGATAATAATAAATGACATCAACATCCCTCATACTTTTTCAGCTCTTCCACTTTTCACAATCCACATAATTCCAGATGGCTGAAAGTTCAAAGTTTTCTCACTGAATATCCAAAAGTAAACAGGGTTGCACTGACAGATAAAGAGGGCATGCTGTACCTCTCTGCTTCTTTGTGCTCTCCTCCAAAAGCGGCCACCGTTCTGAGAGAGGAAAGGACTTCATCGGCCACTGCTCCTGCTTTAGCATAGGCCTGCAACTCACGACCCGTCAGCCTCGCCACAGCCTTCACATTAAAAAAAATATACACTTACATGTTTTACAACACTCTTAAACAGGAAAAAATCATGATGGATGATTAAATGATGAAACACAACATTTTAAAGGAATAATTCACCCCAAAATTAGAATTTGCTGAAAATGTACTCACATTCAGGCCAGCTAAGATATAGATCAGTTTGTTTCTTCATCAGAGCAGATTTGGATAAGTTTAGCATTGAATCACTTGCTCACCAATGGATGCTCTGCAGTGAATGGGTACCGTCAGAATAGAAGTCCAAACAGCTGATGAAAACATCACAATAATCCACAAGTAATCCACACCACTCCAGACCATCAGTTAACATCTTGTGAAGTGAAAAGTTTAATGTTTGTAATAAACAAATCCATCAAGGCATTTTTACTTCAAACTATTGCTTCCAGCTAAAATACGAGTACATATTAATCCATAAAAAATAAAACAAATGCTTCCTCCAGTGAAAAAGTCCATCCTCTGTTGTCCTCTCACATCAAAATCCATCAACATATTTGTGTAGAACAGCTTAGGCCTGTTTTCGCCTTGCTTGATCTGTGCATATTTCTCTCCTGATTCAGATAAGACTATTTTTTTTCAATGGAGAAATATTACAGATGGAGGAAGCAAGTTAAAAATGCCTTAGTGATGGATTTGTTTCTTACAAACACGCAGCTTTTCGCTTCACCAGATGTTAACTGATGGACTGGAGTGGTGTGGATAACTTATGAATTATTGTGATGTTTTTATCAGCTGGTTGGACTCTCATTCTGACGGCACCCATTCACTGCAGAGGATCCATTGGTGAGCAAGTGATGTAATGCTAAACTTATCCAAATCTGTTCTGATGAAGAAACAAACTCATCTACATGTTGGATGGCTAGAAGGTGAGTCAATTTTCATCACATTTTCGGGTGAACTGTTCCTTTAAATCATGCATTATGTCATGAGATTTCTCTCAATCATGTTTCTACATTTACATTTGTGCATTACATTGCATTGAAGTTACATTGCATTCTACAAGTGGTTCATCTCCTTCATATTAAACTGTTTATATTGACACCAACCATCGCCATGAGTCCTGCAGCCAGTCCTATGAGAGGACTCACTGCTATCACCACCAGCGTCAGCTTCCATCCGCCGATGAATCCCACCATGAAGCCAAATATGAACGTTGAGATCCTCTCGATGAAGATTGACACCTGGTCTGCTATAGCGTTGTTGATTTTGTTGATGTCACTACATGGAAAATGAAGTCACAAACATGAAAAATAAACTAGATTTTATTACACTGTACAAATTTTTTTATAGGATTTTTATAGGACTCAGAAACTGCTAGAAAATTTCACTAATAATTACAAAAAAACGGCAAGTAACATTGAATTTAAAGTTAACTTTTGAAATAGAAAACCTGAAATCATATTTTCTCGAAAAACATGCTCCAATAATCAACTTCAAAAAATATATTTTTTTACAGTGTACTTCATGCATTGTTTATCATCCACCAAAAAAATCTGATGCACATTTTGATTTGTCAATGCAAAGTTTAATATTTTACACCACTAATGACAGATTCATGAACAAAGCTAACAATAGTACAACGGAAACACTTAAATATATTACTCAGATATCCTCGTGTTCAGCTCCCCGATGGAGTTGCAGTCAAACCAGCCGATCTCCATCCGCATTATCTTCCTGAAGTACATTTTCCTGATGCGCTGGATCTGTCTGGCGGCAGCAGAAACCCAGAGTGCGATCTGAAACCAGAGTGAATCCTCATGAATACTGTGAATTTGAAAACATGACTTCTTGAGGTTCTGGCATAATAATGCCTCTGTCTCTGGCAGATCTGGAGCACTACTGAGATTAAAAAATGAAGGACGTGTATGTTAAAACCCTGACTGCATCTCTGATACTAGACAGACATTAATATTGTACCACTTCTTTCAAGGAAATTCGTCTGGATGGCCATTACAGTAAAAAGTAAAAATAAGATGAGAACAAACTTTCTTGTATACCTGAAAGTAACTCAGAATAAGGACTCCAACTCCAATTCCAACATAGTACAACGCAAACTTGGTCATTTCAGCCTCAATATCCACCCTGTAGAGAGAGACAGAGCAAGAACATTTCAAATATGCAACTGGAACTGCAAAGTGACACATTTTACTATGTTAACTTTGAACCCATCTTCCAGTTATTTCCCCAAAACCCTTCTGGCTATTAAACTTGTTGAAAAAAAAGTAAATAAATAAAAAAGAATAAATAATCCCTGTAGAGACAGAGCAAGAACATTTCAAATATGCAACTGGAACTGCAAAGTGACACATTTTACTATGTTAACTTTGAACCCATCTTCCAGTTATTTCCCCAAAACCCTTCTGGCTATTAAACTTGTTGAAAAAAAAGTAAGTAAATAAAAAAGAATAAATAATTAAATGTAATAAATATTTATATAATATATAAAAAAATCTAAATATATTTATGTAAATAATAAA